CGGGGGGGGGGGGGGGGGGGGGGGGGGGGGGGGGGGTGGCGGGAGGTGCGCACCCCCTCAGTAAATCCATGCCGGTAGACACAACGTGTAGTAAGTAAAGTAGTAGAACCTGTGTATATTGTACCTTGGGAGCGGAGCTTGCACTCCTTGGTTTGAAGAGGTTTTACATTAGAGAGCTTAAGATGTACGACGCGGCCGGCTCAACGACGCGCTTGCGAAAGAAAGAAATTTGTCATGCAAGACAAAAACTGTGAATAATTCGTTGTCCCAGGGGTATTTTCAACAGCTTTGTCATGCTCAGCACAACGTTAAACTAAGCATTCATGCAACGTGAAAGCTTATTGCGACCCAAGAGGTGTTACTTAAAGTCGAAATTACAGCAAACATTGCATCGCTTTAGTCGAACTTAGCAGTTTGTAATGTCATTTGAAAAATCTTCAAACATTTATTACAGTAATGAAATTGCTTAGCACTCATTCTTTAGCTGAAATTCAGACCGCGTTGTTGAGCCGGCGCGTCGTAGATCTTAAACTCTCTGATGTGGGTTTGGAGATACGACGGCAACGTCAATGAAGACGAGCTCATCAACAATAGTATTTTTACTCGAAGACAAAGGCGACTATAAATTGTATTGTATTTCCTTGGGTATTCTAGTGCGCCGGAGTTGTTCGAACTGCCACGTTATTTTCCCATCATTTTCGTGTCTCATAACAACGACGACAGTTGAAACGTTCGACGTCGTTTTTTTTTTTTTATGTCAATTCGCCGACTATTGCTATTTAAGGTTGTTTAAAAGAAAGATACAGTAAGTACTTTTAAGAGGCAAATTAAGTTTAATTAGTAATGTATCGTAAGGTTTTGACTCGATGTATAATTTTGTTTTCTGCAGTTGCTGTTCTCGGTTCCCAGTAGAAGAATTGAAAGGTTTCCCTGGTCATAGTATGTAATTTGTTCTTTAGAGACTATACACAGATTTTTACCTCAATATGTATCTAAAATACAAAAGTTGGGGACCTGAAGTCCTGAACTTACTGTACTTTACGTTGTACAGAGGTATTCGTTGTACCGAGTGTCAGTTACAGTAGTAGACTAGGTTTCACTGTATAAAGCTCTGGAAACTTGGAAACAGTGAATTTAGAATAAATTCATACTTACATAAATTAAATGATGAAGAAGATTCAGGTCTAGCATCGAGTGCTTTGTTTTGTTCAGTTGTCTGCTCAATCAATGATGCGTTCAATCTAGCCACTTCCTCATCTTCGAGATCTGAGTCTGATTCTGAACTGGAACTATTGCTGGATCCTCCTGACTCGGCATTAACATTTGACTCAACAGGTTTTGCCGAGGCCTGAATAAATGACATGACGCAATGATGTACACTTTACTCTGTCTAACATGCAAGATATTGTTACTCAGTCTGTTCTTTCTTTTTAACAATTAAACGAGAGTACACTCTTATGGAGCAATGTACATTCCTTTGCTGTAATAGTTATTATAATTTATCCTGTCTAGCGTTTTTGTCTTATACCATTTTAGTGTAGGGATGTTTGGTATGAGAAATTTTCGGTATACTAATACCGGGAATATTTAACCAATAGTTCTGGTATGCTGGTTTTGGTTTTCCATCCTTGTTTCAAAGAAGAGTTCCTTAATGGTGATTTGAAGGAGTGGAAACACTGTGTGTGACAATTGAAATTACAAAAGAGTTCGCCTAATATTTGATGCAGGAACTGAGTGCTCATCGTCTGACCTATTTCAAAAACTCAACTGGATCTCCTTACATAATTTGATCAAAATGAAGAAAATCAGTATGGTATTTTCCATATTGATTTGATAGAGAATCAATAAGGTCCCTGCAAATTTACACATAATGTCCCAACAAGATCATGAACTACTGATCTGAAAGTTCCCAAAGTTACTACTGAGTTTGGGAAATCGAAGATATCTTATATATTTATATCCCAAACCATTTATAATAAACGATATCCAAAACAACTCACTGATTCTCACTGACACAATTTAAAAACATCTCTTTTTAAACTAGTACACCTGGAAGACATTGTAAAACTTGTAAATATAAATTTACTTTGCCATTTTAATTGTAAATAGATAAAATAGTAAATAAAGACTATATACTAAATCTGAAAGTATTATATATGAAATCTGAAAGACTACAGTATATACTAAATCTGAAAGTATTATATATATATTGAAGGCCGCCTGGAAGAATACTATTTGTAAAGATGTTTCACGTTCGCTTACAAAATAATGAGACGAAATCTATTTGAATGGTTACCTTTGGATCTTCTTGGGAGTGTGATGTTTCGCTTTGTTGAGATCCCTGACTTGATGAAACTTTACTGCCAGAGGCTGACCTACAAGATATTCATAGCAAGTAGGTTTTTTCAGAACCATCCTCAGAGACTAATTTCATATCATTCTGATACTGTAGTGTACAACGAAAAATTCGTTGTCTCGAGCGGGATTCGAACTCACATCTTTGGGTTTGTAAACCACCGCTCTACTCTAGGCTGGGGCGGCTTTTCAGTTTTCCGGAAAACACCGGCTTTTTTGAAAAACCGGTTTTGCCAAAGTCCAAGCAACGAAAAACCGGAAAAAGACGAAGAACCGAAAAAAACCCCAAGTTAAAAAGGCTAATGTCTGCGCGGTCGTGGTACTTCCGCTCGTGATCGTTTGTCAAAAGAAATCAAACGGTACCAGACGTACCCCGTAATTGACGGAGATGAAAATCCGCTGAAGTGGTGGTAGAGAAACGGAGTTGATTTTCCATTGCTCTGTCAGCTTGCCCGAAAGTATCTTGCGATCCAGGCTAGCAGTTCTCCATCACAACGATGATTTAACAAGGCAGCACTCTGACCATTGAGCTATCGAGGCAACAGGGATTGGTAGCGAATCCTTTCCAATTTTAGTGCACGAAATAACGACGATTTAACGTCTTGGACGATGCGCAGTGTTTCAATTCTATTTCAGAGATATCAAAAACTAATTTCATATTATTCGGACACTGCAGAGAAACATTTGTTGTTACGAAGGATTCGGGTTTAACGTTTGTCCTTCAAGACAAGCGTCAAGTCTTCCCGAAAATATTTCGTGCACTTCAATTGGACAAGACTCACTAGTCACTACCAATCCCCGTTGACTCGATAGCTCATTGGGTAGAACGGCGGTCTGTTAATAGAATAGATGGTTTGGAAACTCATTAGAATAACAATATAGCTCATTAGTCAACGTTTATTCATAAATCTGGTCGTTCACCGTCACGTGTGTATTGTAATTTTGCCCAACTAACCAATAGCAATGTCTTAGGAAAGTTACCTATCCGTGACTCGAACAATAGGGTAAATCGAAAATTGCTATTGGTGGATTTGGCAAGAACACAATACACATGTGACGGTGAACGACCATGTTTATGAATAAACGTTGACTAACATAGATAATGAGTTATACTGTTATTCTAATGAGTTTCCAAACCATCTATTCTATTAACTATGAGATACAGTACCCAAAGATGCAAGTTCCAATCCCCGCTCGAGATAAAATTTGTTTGTTGTTCTCTGCAGTGTCACTATGAAAATAGGCTACTGTATATACTCTCATGACAAGCAGTGTATGAAATCATTTAGCAATACAGACTTAATGCTTTCAAGTACAGTACATGTAGTTATCTACTGTAAACTTTATGTGTTTTAAAACATAAAAGTGTTCAGGTACACCTTTCCCAGAGTTTACCATACTCAATTAATGATTCTCAATACTGAAGTAGTAATAGTTAACCAAATATATACCTTATTTTCTTTAGCTGGACCGTGCTAGCCAGCCGTTCTAATGTTATAGTCTAAAAAGTAAGATTCATGATTTACCAAAACGTGTATAATTATACAGTATAATTATATATTAGTTAAAAAATGAACAATTCACTTTCAACAATACACAAGTCTCTCCTTACTCTCTTCCCTCTGTCAACAACCAGAACACATTCTTTTGGACAAGGTTTCTTAGATCCTCTGTACACAGTCGTGCCTGAGTCCTATCAAACACAATCATATGATTGGGAAGTTTTATATAGTAACACAGCCCAGGTAATTAACCAGAACAGGAAACTAGGTAGAAAGGTATTTTTAAGAATTTTTCCAGATTCATGGCAATTGATCAGAATTCATTCAAATATATTGAAACCCTTGGGGTTCCAGTATCAGGTGGAAAATGAAACTTTATATATTAAAAACACTTTGACATTTTCAAGCGCTGTCCCTGATTGAGCACTGCATCTGAGGGCAAAATTATGCATGTTGTGTGCCAGAGCCATAAACGCTGTAACTATTCATAAGTCAAACATAACACATTTAATTGAAGCACTGTCTGAAAAATTCTTGGCGACGCCCAACTGCAGAAGGCAAACAGTGTACGAAGATGCAATTTTTAACAAGCTCAGGGTACTTTTTCTCCTGCATTTCAGTGTTTCAGTCTATAGTATATTTTGTTGCTAATATTTCTTGTTATGACATAAAAAGTACCGGTGCCCTCAAATACTGTACCGGTATGTGCCACAACCGTATTACTAAAAATTTGAGGAGCATGTAATGTACTGTAGATAATAATGTATATAAGTGTCCTAATATTTTATGAATTTTGATTGTATGATGATGGTTACAAAATTAATAGAAGTGAAAAGTGACAAAATTGTTAGGGTAGGTGCAACCAATCTCCCTTCAAAAACTGGCCATGCTCGAAACATCAAAGTGTTTTTGGTGCATTAATTGCTAGTGTATACCCAAGTTTACTGGGGTTTTTTCTTGTCCAAGTAATTCCCTAGTACAGAGTTACCACAAACAGGGTGGAATAAGAGTAAATTGAAAGAGTGAAAACATAGTACCTGTGTATTAGGGAGTGAGACGTTTACTTCACCTCCTTTGCCAACATCAAGACTTCCTGCTTGTGACGTATCAACTGATGCTGGTTTGAAATCATCTACATTCATTTATACATGTAGTTCAAATTAATTATTTATCAATGAAAGTCATTATTTTATTAAAAAATGTCATGGAAGAGAGCAATTTAATATGTACAGTAAATATGAAAGGGTTGCACCTTGATGAACCCTACTTTTTTTTTCAATCAGCCAACCAGGGTGCATTCCATTTCCATGCATTCCATGCCGGAGATCTCCAGCGGGAGAATACAAAATTTGTTGGCGTTTTGGCATGAGATTACTCAAAGACAGGGATTTTAGTCCCTAAAAGTGAAATTTTTGAAATATTGGTGATAGAACAGCTGCGAAAATGCAACTACAGTATATGTCCTCTACCCTGGTTCCTGAGGTTCTTGTGCCGCCATATCATAAATTACGAAGACGTGAAATAAATATGAGCGAGAATAGGGCGGAACATACAAGAATCTTGATATTTACATGGAATGCACCCTTGCTAATGCACATCCTAATAACCCAAGGTTGTGTCCTACTCTATCATTTGACTCTGTCCAGGAAATGTAATGCCAGATGATTTTACTCATCAAGGGGAGAGTTCAGGTCCTACTAAAGAATGCCAGGAGAGATTTGTTGAATGCCAGGAGAGATTTGTTGAATGCCCGGGAGTCGGGAAAAAATGCCCGGGAGTCGGGAAAGAATGCCCGGGAGTCGGGAAAGAATGCCCGGGAGTAGGGAAAGAATGCCCGGGAGTAGGGAAAGAATGCCCGGGAGTAGGGAAAGAATGCCCGGGAGTCGGGAAAGAATGCCCGGGATATTATTATTATTTATTTAAAAAAATCCTGGTTTCTGATTGGCTAACAGCCAACTGTGAAATTGTCATATCAACTCAATGGCTAACCAAATATGGATTTTTCACATTCATAATTAGCAAATGACGTTTCATTTTTCACATTCATATTAGCAAAATGAGTCAACAATATGAAAAAAATTTGGACGTGTTTGCGCCATATTACAATGACGACGAGAATCATATTGACTCGCTGACGCCATTCAATTTGATATGACGCGACGACGGCTGCCGAAGGACTAAGGATTTTTTTCTTAATACAAATAAAATACAAATGTTTGTTTTGAATTTTTAAAATAAATAACAAAACAATTATTGAATTCAGTTTTCGCACAATATGAAGAATTATCAAACCCTCAGTTTGCCGTTATCAACCTTAGCCTTCAGCTTCGGTTGATAATGGCAAATTTCGGGCTTGATAATTCTTCATATCGT